CCCCCGAAAAGACGGACATTACTCGATAAAATGAAAATAATTCTTCATGACACACACTTCTGAACGAGTACGAAGGATTTTGATTCACATCATTTGTAAGCAGCGGCAAAAAAGCCGGACCATTAGACAACAACAGCTGTAGTGTCACGCCCCAGAATTAGAAAATCGAACCAAGCAACCCTTTTCAATTTTAAGTCATCTACGATGATTAATTATGCAGATTTTTCACTTCTGTTTTCTTCATCTGAAACTTAAAAAGATCGGCAACATCATGCTTAATATGAACTAAGCAAGTTTTGGGTTTTGGCTTATGTGTGGTGGTTCGAAAAGTACCGAAACATTGGCTTTTTTTGTTGTCTGCTGCTGTGTCCGCTACGTCCTTGAAGAGTTAAAACCTCTGGAGACATCCATCGGAACGGGTGGGGGAGGGGTTGATGATTTATAATTTATATATAAAAAGAGAGCAAAGAATTGCTCAGTGCTGGCATCATAATTATTGTATTCATTCTTGTATGATAATGATATTACGGAATGGAAGTTTTGAAGAACAAAAAAACACAAAAAAAACTCACTGAGACACAGACTGTAATAAATGTTATTTTCTCATGATTTCTTTCTGTTTTCTATTGCCCCGTTTGCCAACTACAGGTGCCTGGGTCGTGTTCACACCCACCAACCACGACCGTGACCCCGTGTTCGGGCTGAGCGCGACCGGGACCTTCGCCATGACCGTCACAGCGGGCTTCTTCCTCTTCGAATGCCTGGCCTTGACCTGGTCAGACTGGACGACGAACTCCCTGTCCAAAATGCTCCACCTCCACCACTGGCTCAGTCTGGCCGGCAGCGTGACCGTGGTGCTGACAGAGGCGGGCTACACCGTGGCTTCGCGGAGTCTCACCTTAGAAATGAGCACGCCCTTCTCGGCGCTGTGCTGGATGCTGCTCAAGGCGGGGCTGGGACGGAGCTGGTTGTGGACTGTCAATCAAATGGTGCTGCTCCACGCCTTCCACCTGCGCTCTGTGGTGGAGTGTCACATCTGGTGGAACACTTTCACACACCGCCAGGCCATCTGGGCGGACATGCCGTGGTCGACGTTTCTATCGGTGTATGCGGCGCTCAGCATGTTCACGTTTATGGCTACCCCGTACTGGGGCTACAAGAAGACGTTGCAGATGGGCCACCCACACGATTGGAACTTTGAGAACGACCAGGATGATACACTCAAAAATGGGAAGCTGGCTAAAAATGAGTAATTTTTAAAAATTCCACCTACCCCCTTCCCCTACCCACACCTTTTTTTCATCCCCTCTCAGAACATCCCAATCTCAGTAACTCTTCAATACTTAAACCCCCTACCTCATGCAAGCACTTTATATTATAGAAGAAACAAAAACAAGAAAAACTCGAAAGTCTATTTATTCTTTCTAAAATATCTTAATTGGTTGAGTCTACTTTATCCAGACACCAGTGCAGTGCTACTGACTAAAGTTGTCTTTAGACCATTCTCAAAGGGGGATATTAGTGTTCTGCGCTGTTTACCGATCGGTGCAATCTTTAGATCGTATAATTGCGAGACAATATTAAGATTGCGCTGCGCGTTTCAACGATCGTATAAGTGTATCATTTTTGTGAGCTCTTCAGTTTCATATATATGTAAGTTAATTTTAATTTATAAAATAAATAAAATGTACTTTGTGTGAACTTTGAGTTTGCTACCTGGCATGGTAACATTGTTGTGAGCTCTTCAGTTCCATCTGGTCAGACTGGACGACGAACTCCCTGTCCAAAATGCTCCACCTCCACCACTGGCTCAGTCTGGCCAGCAGCGCGACCGTGGTGCTGACAGAGGCGGGCTACACCGTGGCTTCGCGGAGTCTCACCTTAGAAATGAGCACGCCCTTCTCGGCGCTGTGCTGGATGCTGCTCAAGGCGGGGCTGGCACGGTATCATTGTTGTGAGCTCTTCAGTTGCTGCTCCACGCCTTCCACCTGCGCTCTGTGGTGGAGTGTCACATCTGGTGGAACACCTTCACGCACCGCCAGGCCATCTGGGCGGACATGCCGTGGTCGACGTTTCTATCGGTGTATGCGGCGCTCAGCATGTTCACGTTTATGGCTACCCCGTACTGGGGCTACAAGAAGACGTTGCAGATGGGCCACCCACACGACTGGAACTTTGAGAACGACCAGGATGATACACTCAAAAACGGGAAGTTGGCTAAAAATTAGTAATTTTGTTGAATTCCACCTACCCCCTTCCCCCAACCCACACCCTTTTTTTTTTTTACCCCCTCTCAGAACACCCCAATCTCAGTAACTCTTCAATACTTTAACCCCCTACCTCATGCAAGCACTTTAAAGAACAAACCGTAAAACACTTACCCCCCCCCCTCCCCCCGCCCCACACCACATCGGCACAAAAATGGTCATAGTGTTGGGGAAAAGTAAGACAGACAGAGGGAAAGTGCGATCTTTGTTAACATCTATTCCTGGTCTTTTACGACTGTCGTCAGACTACCTGGATACCTGGACGTGTCATCTCTGGCTCAGAGTTTGTCATGTAATGACCGCAAAATATTACTTGTATGCTTACGGTCGCTGCTCTTTTTCCTCAACACTAAGAAACACGAGAGAGTGTACTACACTACGGCAGCTGCTGGCCTCCGCCAGTCCTTGCCTTGATGTTATCGGTCCACATTGCTCTTCCTTGTCCATCTGTAGCCTTTTTGTCCCACACCCACATTTTGCCTTACTTCAAGTGCTCTCACACACGCACGACAGATGTCTATAAAAGCCAAAAAATATACTCCGCTCAATGACACAGCTAGAACAATTCACACAACCTCACAGTCTGCACATATTTCTTACAATTTACTCACTGAATGGTCTAGTGGCGTTTTATATGACCAAACTTGAAAATATTGTACCTACTTTTCTACTTTCCATTTTGAAAAAAAAAAAAAAAAACACAAAAAAAGCATGCTTTGTTTTGT